GATAATATTTCAAAAATAATAAAAAATAATATAAATAATCTTTAAATAATTTTTAATGAATTTATTTTTAATATTTTTATGAAATATCTATAATCTATCTATATAGATATTTAAATAATATCTAATATATTTAAATAATATCTAAATAATCTATGAAATATCTATAATTTTTTTTATGTATACAATATAATTTAAAATCTATTTTTTGTCACGATTGTATAATAAATAAATATTTTATCTAAAAGAAAATACATACTTCTATATATTAAATTTAAATAGCTTTGTTTGAGAAAAAAATATTGTTCCAATTTTATAGAAAATCCAAATAGAAATTAAATTATAACTTCTACAGTGATTGCTTTTCTCTCTCAAAAAAAAAAATTAAAAAAAATTTTAAAAAATTTAAAAAAAATTGATGAAAATAATTTTTTCTATATTACATTATTTTTATATTATTTTCTATATTCTATATCACATTACTTTAAATATAAAATGATCCGTTCGAAAAATCATAGATAGATATTTTTAATAATTGAATTTATTTTTATGATATATAAATATTTAAAAATAATCAATATTGATAAAAAATATTGAATGATTATCGTATAAATAAATTCTTTTAATTGAAAATTCAATTATTGAATAAAATTGATTTTTATAAATAAATTATTTCTTGTTTTAACTTTTTTTTCTTTTATTTCAGTTGGTGTCTTCCTGTTCAACTTACTTCAACAGCTTTAAAGTGCGATTCTAATAAGTAGCATCACAGGTTTATATTTATTCAATTAATAATATCCGATTATATAAATATTCATTTATTATAGTTCATTATTGAAGGTGTTTTCTACAATGACATGAATTTTTCATTGTTCTTATTATATTACATAATTATTACATTAATTTTTCATATTTCTTTATATTATATTATTAATATAATATTATATAAATTATATAATATTATATAAATTATTAAATAAAAATTGTTTCGTAAAAAAATTATTTTTTTTCAAAATTTTAACAAATATAGATGTAAAAGATTAAAAAAATTTTCATTTATTTAGATTTTTAATAATTGTTTTAATAATCAAGTGAAATGTTTCAAATACTATATTATGTTTTATTATACATATTTTATTACATCTTCATTTATTGTTATATCTAATGAAAAATATCTATGCATATTTTTTTTCATTGTTCGATAAATAAAAAATACTAATTTTATCGAATTCATTGTTTTATTTTTTAAATTTAAATTTGATATAAATAACATTTTTATATATAAATTTATAAATTTATAAATTAACAACAATAATAGACTCGAAATAATTTTTTTTTGAAATAACTTTTAAATTTAGAAAATATCCATTTTTCACTTCCAATTATGCAACTAACTGTAATTGATCCTCGATTGAAAAGGTTAGAAGGATTTTCCTATTATAAATGTTATGCAAACATTTGAAGCGATTAAAATCATAGTCACGCGGTAAGAAAGATCTTCTGACTTGCTTTTCACCGGAAAGTAAAAATGCTTTTCCTTTCTGTCACGTGGCCATGGTGTGTCACGTGTTCCCATAGGCCGCGTGAGATTGACATTGACACGTGAACAACTCAATTGAGGATATTGTATTTTGGAATTAATGGAAATTCATTTGATCGACATTGTCCTTCCTACTATTAGAATTAATTAACGATCCATCCATCCCTTTACGTTTCGTAATCGACGATCCATTTAATTAATCTATCTTCTTTCCCTCGCGTTTGCGTAATCGGAATTACGTACAACGTACAGGGATGATTTTATTAGAGAATTCAATGTTAGAATTAGTCAAAAATATAATTTCGAATGATTGAAAATTTGGATTAACATATTGATGGAAAAAATGAAGAATAATTTTATGAATTATATTTCTTATGTGAATTTGTATAAATATAAATCATATTATTTTCGGTATTTTTTAATATATGGATGATTTTTAATATATATATTTAATATATTTTTAATATATATGAATTTCTAAATAATTTTTCATACAAAATGAGAAAATCGATCTAAAAAGATTTGAAATCAATCAATTAAAATTTGAAAAAGAACTCTATGAAATAAGTATAAAAGAGGATATATAAATATATACATAATTCGATATATATAATCGAGAGAAATTTTGTTTCATCATTTTTTTCAACTCTCTAAATTCAAAAAAGGAATTTAAAAAAGGATATTTGAATAATTATTTCTTATTTTTTAATATTTAGTAAATTTCAAATATACAATTTCAAATATACAAATTTAATTTTTTTAAAATTCCACTATTTTTTGATAAAAATAATCTTAATCAATATCATCATTATATTTTATTAAAAAATAATGATAAATTTTAAATTAAATTAAATAACATTTTCTTAAACAATTTTTTCATTTCTTAATATACTTTTATTAAATTTTTAGAAACTTTTAGATTTTTAATTTTTAAAAATTAAAAAATAAATTTTTTCATTTTTTCATTTATATAAATATATCACAAGGTGAAAGTAATTTATCATAAATTACAATAAATCTTAAACCACTAATACAATGAAACTCAGTATTATTATTTGTTGTTTTCAAAAATAAAATCACTTAAACATCTCGAATATTTTAGCTAGAATTTATTTAAATAGCTAATAAAAGATCCTTTGATAGGATCCATAGAATAATTTTTCGTCAATCTTTGTGCTGATCCAATATATTTGAATAAGGATCTGTTAATGTGCAATCCTGCAACTAGATGGCGATAGGGTAGAAGTGTGATTCCTTGCGCGACTAGTCGCATCCCTAACGAATTTGGAACAGTTGACGCGCGTACTTTGTCACGTTCGTGTCGTTTCTTGTGATTTTATTATTAAACTTTTATTTTTCTTTGTAATTTTTAACTTAACTATGCTTAATTAAAAGATCTTCTGGCTTTTTCATATCATGTGGTAAGTTCTAATTGTTATTTTTAATAGTGGAAAATATCATTCTTTTTAAATAATTTTTTATTTATATGAAATATTTAACGAATTATTTACTTAGACCAAATTGATTTGAATCGATTTAAAATTATTGATAACGCAATTTTTAAACGACGTTTGATTTTAAATTCTATTTAATCTAATTTATTATTATTTATTTGATTGAGAAAAAAACATGTTTTGATTAAGATATCATTGGTATTAAGAAGTAATAGGATTAAAATGAAGTTATTTCTCATTTTTCTCTTTTATAAGTAAAATTCTGTTATAATAATAAAACAATATAAATTTTTAGCAAATATATTGCATGTTTTCCAATATTTATTAAAAAAAACATGTTTCATGTTTTATATTGATAATATTTTTTTCAATTATTACAATTACGTCAATAATTTTACAAGATCAATTCTCATTTCTTCCATCTCATTAACGAACAAGAGACATGCTTTTTATTTATTGAAAGTCAAAGAAACATTTTATATGTATGAGTATCGAAAATAACATTCATCTATCTTCGTTGAGATTTTTTAATGCATAATTATTCACATGTACATCGAATTATTATTTACACACAATTATTAATGCACATCCTCGTGATTTCCAATTATTCGCAATTCCCTCGATATTCACCCTCTCTTATCAATATCATTTTCTTCATCAGCAATTATTTTCTATTATCGACAATATCAGCATTAAATATGAAATATAATTAATTTTTATTTTGCATTTTATCGGAATTTCTGCGATATTGTAATGCAACATCAAATATGTAGCGCGATTTGTATATAGAAGAAGTTTTATACAACTATCAGTATTAAATTATTTATGAAATGTTTTTTTTATTTTTGTTTTTGTGAAATGTTTCGAATTCGGATTATTTATATTTTGATCAATATTTTTTTTATTGATTTTATAATCTTAGAACTTTAAAGAAATCTAAATTTTATAACTTTAAAGAAATTAAAATTGTTTATAAAATTATTGCTAAAAAATAAATATTTTAATATAATAAATAATAATAATAAATAAATAGTTATTAAATTTTTATTAAATAGTGATAAAATGAAAATTTTTGATGAATTTTTTGAGTTTGAAATTGCCCCAAATATCAAAATAATTACTTTTTTGGGATGTAAGAGAGGAATAATTTTGAATTTATTTATTATTATTGAATATATTTATTATTATATTCTTATTGTACAGAATAGTAAAAAATCTAATAAATAAATTTTGCATTTAACTTACTAAAAAAAATGTACATAGAATTTTCTTTAGATATATCAAGATATATAATTATTATATATTAATATAAATTATATAAATAGGTATATAATTATTATATTATTAATATAAATT